TCTTAGGGTTAATTTTTTAAGGCCCCAGTCGCACTGGCTGATACTAGAAAATCTCCAGGTCTCTGTGGTCTCCCAAACAAGAATAAATAAAGTGGCTGTCTCATTGAAACGCTTCTTAAGAAGAGAGAAAAATTCACCAAAATAGCTAGTGGGAGGCTGCTTCTGAAATTGCAAAGCATGCCTTACTGGGCTGCGCAGGAGCAAGATTGACCTGGAGTTATTAAGGATGGCATCAGTCAGGTAAAAGGGGATAGGGTTCCTGCAATCTAGTGTCTTGCTTAGCTCATCTAGTCCTAATTATGCACTGGGTGCAGCAAGAATGTCATATTTCCTCTCAGCTTGTTTCTTTGAGTGTATTCCAGCCTTGTTTTAGTTGCTTTGACAGGCTCTGGTGTGTCAGAAGCACATGCCTTAACAGCTGCACAGATACGGCTACGTGACAAATTCGAAGGTGAAGTTTGTTATGGTGGTGGATTCTTCAAACACAGCACTTCGAGACAATGAGATCCGCAGCGTAAGTGCAGGAAATCAGAGCACAACTTGCCACATCAGTGTTTTTGCTACTTCCGCTTATTCATAAAGTGCTGAGAAGCCAAAAAAAAAATTAATAATCATTAACTACAATCCCTTTTCAGATGTTCCGAAAGCTGCATAATTCATATACGGACATAATGTGTAACCCTTTTTATAACCCTGGGGACCGTATCCATTCCAGGTAAGTCAGCTGATCGTACTGATCTTGCTGATCTTTGTCATCTTTCTGGAACTTTCAGTGTACTTATAATGTAATAGGACCAAGAGCATAACCCCTGTGGTTGACCAGTTCAGATGTGCGTGCTCTGACTGCCTAAATGGAGAACAGCTGTGTTGTCTTCGGGCCATTTCTGCAGAACAGAAAACTGATCATCAGTGTCATGAGAAGTTAACACTGAACTCTCACTCCCACCTCAGAGCCAGCGTTAGAAACTTTGGCTCAAGAAAATTAATTTATCGGGGAGAAAAAATGTCCCTGTTTCATAGGTAAATATGAGCATAAACATATGTAAACAGAGTGAAAAACTGCACTTTTCCAGGGCTTATCCTTGGGTAAGGACAGATGGGCATTTGGCACATGTAATTCCTCATGTGTGAGGGCCAATGCCTCCCATTCTTCATCTGTAATCTTACAGGGAATTTTAATAAAATTGGGAGTTTATACTGCCTAGGCAAGAACAACTTTTACGCTTTGCTGAGACAGGTCTACAGCCAGGATAAGGCCTGTCCTTACTTCAGCTTAATTAAGTCATTATTTACTCAACAGAGCATGCCATAGTTCAAGAGTAAAACCATGTACTCAGGCGGGGGAAAGCAGCTTGTTAACCAGTAAGAGGCATTGTTAGCCATTGGTTTTGTTACAGGAGATCTGCTGTGCAGAACTAGCTGCTTCCTTTAATATTCTGGGTTTGTTTCTATCTCTAGGGCTTTTGATAATACAGTGAACTCCATGATGATGCAGGTGTGCTGAGGCTCTGCCCCCTCTCATCTGAGCATCGAGAACATTCCCCGTGTACAGGAGCGTGCCTACAAAGTGATGTATATATTGTCTCCATTCTGTGTAATATTTTAAATGTATTCTATGTAAAATAAACTCACCACCTGCAAGATTTGCCTGCATTTCTACTCTAGCAAACCTGAGTATAGCGCAGAAGTCACTGTTCAGCTTGATGCCTGCAGGTAACGTGTGAGAGGCAGCTCTCCCTTCAGGAAGGTCAGCTGAGTCAGGAGGCTGGTTCCCTGCAGAAATGTGTGCAGCTGTGCCTCTGTGCAACTCAGATGTTTCTGTAGGAATTGGGCTTTGTGCAAAACCAGCAGTTCCTGCTGTGCTTGTGATTAGAGCAAGCACAGCTGCACCAGAGACAGCTAGGAGATTATTACTAGGGTCAGCCCAGCTTTCAGTCAGCTGAGATGCACAGGGAGTGACTCTGTTCCTCAGACACGGGTGCATCAGAGCAGTTCCTCCGAAGCAGGAGCAGCACATCAGCAACTGTGTCTGCTCCTTGCCAGCCCCCTTTGCTGCTGGCTCAGGGCTGTTTATTCTGACATGAACATCACAAGCAATGCTTAATTCAAACATACTTGGGCTCCTTGTCCTGTTCTTCCTTAGCTGGGAGCAGCCAGATTTGCTTATACTTACTCCATTCGTTCTTGGAAAGAGGAAGCTCTTCAAGTTAGGTTTCTCCACGACCTCAGCCGCTGTTTACACACTGGAGAAAGCTCTGGCAGACAGCAAACAGCTGGGCTCAGAGCTTCAGCTGGACCTGATGGAGCCTTCCCTCCTTGGGAAAGAACTTTGGGTGACTCACATGTGACAGTATTTGCTGTTATCACTTTGCACCTCGTTGAGACGGGCCAGGCCCAGTTAACAGCAGCTCTGACCTGGGTCATGGAGCACAGGTAGCACAGCTGGGATAAACCCAGGCCAAGAGATTAAGACATCAGGATTGCACAGCTGCCTGGCTCATCCCAAACTAATCTCTATTAGCATCTCCTCCCCCTGCAGCTCCCCTCCCTTCCAATTAAAGACTACCAAATCAATAGCAGGTATTTATATACAAAAAAAACCTCGAACAAACTGAAGTAGAAACACATCCCAGCTTCTTGATCACTTGTGGAGCTGACTCACACTGTGTGAGACCCTGCAGCTACAGCAAGTTCAGTGTAGGCACCGAGCAGCTATTCTATGCTTTTCCCCACACACCTCTACTCTCTTTCCTGCCCCACAGGCAGCAGTCTGTGCTTCAAGCACCTAATCAGTTAAAACTATATAAAACATAGCTAAAATTAAATAAATAAATAAATAGAAAAAGATAAGCTGCGCAGCTCCAAAGGATACAAGCAGCCTGGAGAAAGCCAGGTCAGCACAGAGTGTCAACTCACAGCCAGCTGAGGTTCACACAGCAGGATCATTTATTTTAAAAATAAGTGACATACACAATACTTTCTCAAACAGAACTTAAATACATTTAATCATCGACAACCTGTCAAACAGTGGGAGATGAAAGTGTTTGAGCCTCTCCCACCATCTAAACAAGGCACAGCAGTACACTGCTATTCCAAAACATTTTTGTATAAAAAATCTTCACTCTTTTTCACTCAAGAGACAGGAGCTCAGCATTGCCTCTTCCACAAGAGAGCCCAAACACCCCAGAGTAGTTTTTGTTAAAAATTCGCAAGAATTTACAAAGCTACTAAACCTAAAGTTTAAAGCTCTAGAAAAAGCCAGTTTTAGAGTCTAAGCCTAAAGGTAGCTCGGATCGAGGGTGGCCTTGGCAGCAAAGTCCACACTGGGAAAAGGAAAAAGTCAACACAACATGAAGAGTTAAGGCCCCAAGGTTTTAAAAACAATCCCGAGATCTTAAGGGAAAAGAAGAAGAAAGAAAAAAAAAAACACAGTGGGATTTTTTAGCCTGGCAATGCCCCCTGAGCTGTGAAAAGCTGCTTTAGGAGTGAGTGACATCTGTTGCATCTGGGTTAGAGGAATCCTAACCAAGGATCCTGAAAGCTTAGCGGGAGAATTACGTAATAAAACCGATTCCAATGCAGAACTTCACACAGTAGTGCTGTCTGCTGGTGTTTGCATCCTGCCTCTCTTAACACAAAGTTTTTCCCCTTTAAAAACACGCAGTTTCAGAGCTCAGCAGGAAGGGGAAAGTGCCAGGCAGCGCTGGTTCCCTGGGGCGCGCTTCGGTCCCAACCCTCTCCTTGGGCTCACACCATCCCCAAACAGGAATGGGCAGCAGGAATGGTGATGGGAGTAAAGAGGAAGATCAGAGGAAATTTGCAACAGTGGAGGTGATTTCGTAATACTGCTGCTGCTAGAAATGAAGCAAAGCGATGCTTTAGCAGCACTCTGATCCCTACAGCTTCACAATAAAAGCAGGAGTGGGGTGGGGGGAAAGAGGGGATTGTTGACTTCGGAAATAGAAGCAGGAAAAGGTTTTGTGACACCCAGGTCTTGTTTTAACCCACCACAGAGATACAGAGGCTTCCAGACAAACAGCAAAGGATGCCTTTTCCCTCCTCTAACAGAAGCAGGGAAAGGTTTTGTGACACTCAGGTCTTGTTTTAACCCACCACGGAGATACAGAGGCTTCCAGAGAAACAGCAAAGGATGCCTTTTCCCTCCTCTAGTTACCAGATGTAGAACAGCAGCAGCGAGTTAAAAGATCAGACCCAGAAGACATTGTTAGGCTCCATCATCTTCCCAAGAGCAAGGTCAGAAATCCACAAGGCTGGTGGAATAAAAGAAGAGCTCCCCAGCATTCAGGCCTAGAGCTATAACCCAAGACTTTCTCCACTGATTTAGAGAAGAAAAGAGTCTTTGGAAAGGTATTTAGGATTTTATGGGCAGAAGAAAACAGCAGAAACAGCCCTGTAGAAACAGCCCTGTAGAAACAGCCCTGTAGAAACAGCCCTGTAGAAACAGCCCTGTAGAAACAGCCCTGTAGAAACAGCCCTGTAGAAACAGCCCTGTAGAAACAGCCCTGTAGAAACAGCCCTGTAGAAACAGCCAGCAAAGCTGAGAGTGCTTCACAAGCTGAGGAGGACAGGTCTGCCCTCACAGTGGGGTGAAAGGCATTTAGATAGCTAAAAGCCAAACCAGAATTACTGCAAACCCTCCAGTACAGCCCTTTTCTATGGGATGAGGATGAGACTGATGGTCCAGGAGAGCTCTTCCCAGGACAGGGTATTCTCTGGAATGAGACTGTTCTCAATGGAAGTGCAATCTCCTAAGCAAAGTTAAGATGAGCCTCTCCTGGGATTCTGGTAGGGATCCAGCCAATGTGCGGGTGCAGCAGACCCAATGTTCCCTCCTGCTGCCTCAGCAGTAATCCTCGTGGTCAGGCAGACAGCATTTTAAAATTAATCTTTTTTGGCTTGGCATATTCTTAAATCTCTCCAATCTCTCCCATTTCCTCATTTCACTCCCATCAGCATCACCAGGTCAGTCCAGTCCTTTTCTAATAGGGAAAATACCACGGCAGCAGCCTTGCCCGACCCCTAAACAAGAACAAAAGCAATATCTTAAGGCACTGGGGCATTGCTCAGCCAAGACATCAGCTGTGTCTAAAAGCACAGCTACCTGCTCCTCCACCCCACCAGGAGCTGGGACTCACCCCTCTGCCCCAGCTAACCCAGACTGAACCCCCAAAAGACAGGGGAGCCCCAGAGCCAAGCACAGCTCTGAGACCAGTCAGGCTGGAAGTGAGATGCCCACCCAACACCCTCCAAACCCCTAGAGGGACAAGGGGACAGCAGCGAGTTTCCAGGTGTCTCTTCCACCCCCAAAGCTCCTCTTCTGCTTCCTCCCACAACGCTGAAGGGTCTGGGGCATCACTGAAGCTAATCTGCAGTGAGCTCGCAGACACATGAGCAGCAGGAGGTGTGCTGGAAAATAGCTCCAGGACTGTGCTGGGGACACAAGGGATGCCAGGACAGGCAGCAGGGATAGGTCTGCCATGCCATCCTGGCTGCTCACTTCATCCTACTCCCTCCTGGCTGCCCACAGTCCTCCTGAGACACCTGTGTCCCAGCCACACCAGCTACCAGGCTCCTGCCAACCCTACAGGCTGCAGGGTGATGCTAACAGCACGCGATGGGCAGGAGACATTTCTAGCACACATCTCCAGGAGGATACACCTGCCAGAGCCCTCCTCCATCCTCCCCCCTGGGTGGGAGGTGCAAATCCAAGCAGCTGAGCATGGCCAGGGCACGGAGCAGCTATCCTCATCCTGGGGAAACCCTGCTCCACAGGGATCGTGACCCCAAAAAGGCAAGGAACCCCCTGCCCGCTCACCTGTACGTCCTCCCTCGCACCCTCAGATGCTGCCCTCCATGGTAGCCTCCCCGCTGGGCCAGCCCTCCCCAGGCTTGGAAGCGGCCCCGGTAGCCCCCACGGTCAGTGGTGCTGATGCCTGGCATGTTGGTCCTCTTGGGCAGCACCTAGAAGGCAGGGGGTGGCTCAGCCAGCACTGGGGCTCAGGGCAGCCCCATGCATGTGGGGCTGGGGAGGGATGGATACACCATCCCAGGGCCTCATCCAGCTCTTACCTTAATGACACGGCCTCTGAACATGCTCTCATCCAGCTCCACCGCAGCCTTCACAGAGCTCTTCTCTTGGAACTCAATGTAGGCATATCTGCAAAGGGGATGGGCTGAGCAGAGCTCCAGGGACACCCCGCTGCTCCCAAAGGCCAGGGATCACAGGGCAAGACCCTCAACACCCCAACCCCAACTCCCACACACAGCACTGACCCTTTGGGATGCCCTGAGAACTTGTCGCAAAGGATGGTCACTCGGTTGATCTGCCCACAGCTGTTGAAGTGAGACTCCAGCTCTTCTGCCGTGCCCCCGTAATCCACCTGCAATGACAATCCCAGCCCCTCCAACCAGTTTCCTCCAGCTCCTCGGTCTGCATTCACACATCATCACGGGGTGAGACAAGGGCCTGGATGGCCCTACTCACACCTTGCCACCACAGCCTCACCATCTCCTGAGATTAAGGACACCCTTCCAGCTGAATGCTCCAGCCTGAAAACCCAAATCCAAGAGACAACCCCCTGCTGCTTTGAGGGAAGGAGCAATGCTGCACAACCTGCAGCTTCCAGAGGGGTATTTTGGGGAGCTGACACATGCAACAGATTATCTTCAAGTAGCTGAGAATCACAGGCAGATGCTGAGTCACATTCCCAGTCTGGGCTGGGCAGAAGAGAAGCATTTGGGATGGGACCAGCCAGCCTTTGGTGGGGGGTAGATACCCTAGCCCCCGTGCTAGGGATCTCAAACATATGTCCAGCTGGGAAGGAGCAGCAAAGTGGGTTCTGCTCCAGGGTGTCCCACTTACATTGCCCACATAGATGGATCGCTGGTCAATCTCCTTCTTCTCCTCAGCTGTCCTTGGGAAGAGTCCTGCAGAGACAAATGGTTGTGCTGGACAGGAGCCCTCTGGCAGAGGGACATCTGTCTGTGCAGGTCTGCTCCCAGCCACCAACGAGCTGACACACTGCAAAACCCCTTGGGTCCCTGGTCACGTCCAGGCATACCCAAATCCCCACACTGCTGCTGCCACCTCCTCCATCCCCTTTGTCCCCTCTCTCTCCACACACAAAAAAGAACCCCACAGAGAGACTGTTTTACAGGGGCTGTTGGTGCTAAACTCAATTACTTCACTGAATTTAATTTAATTCAATTTACTGCATCTTGTCCCGCAAAGGTAGGAGTTGGACATAGCCTTAGCACCATGCCACACATGGGTTTCCACCTTAGGTGTCCGGTCTCAGGCTGCCAGGAGAGACAGGGCAGTGTGCTCTGACCCTGACCACCACGCTGTGCCTCAGAGGTGTCCCTGGGTGTGGGGGGGACTCCAGCACCCAGCGACAGCCCGTACCTGCATCTAAGCTCATGATGAAGCGGCTTTCAGCTTCCAGCTGCAACTCCTTCAGCCTCTCATCCTCCTCCTCCATCTCCCGCACTTTGGCTTTGATGGCCTCCAGCTCCTGCAACCCAAACCCAGACTCGCACGAGCAGCACATGGAACTGGGACACCCCCCCCCAACTGCTCCCCACCCTGAGCTGGGACATTACAGTGCCACACAGCTCCACCAGCAGTGCCCTCCCAGGCTGGGGACAAGGGGGAGCTAGGTGCTGGCGACAACAGCCTGTCCCACAAAGAGGGAATTCAGCTCCCAGCTGAAAGAGAGAAAAAACCACAGGGAAAATCTTCCTTTCCTGTGCTTTCCTGTGAAGCAGCATGTGCTGCAGCTGGGATGTCCCAAAGCTTCCAGAGGGAACAGGAAATTTAAGCTGGTGACAAACAGGAGCCATTGACTCTTGCTCACCCAGGCAGACATCTCAGCAGCAAGAGAGCCACAATTCAATCTCCAGCTTCTCAGCTCAGGGATTTTAACAACAGAAGCCTAAAATTATTCTTAGTTTTTGGAAGTGCTTGAAGAGAGATGTAGAAAGTTGCCCATTTCCTTAAATAAAGAAGGAAAACTGATCCCACATGCAGCCAGGCACTCACTGGGTCTGGCACAGCCAGCTCCTCCGCGCTGTCCCCCTCCAGGTGACTCAGGTCTGAGTTGTCACCTGCAGCCTTGCGCAGAGCTGCCATCTTCGCCACGTCCCAGGATGCCTCCACTGCTGCCAGGGACGGCGTGTCCTGCCACCAGATCCCTGAAGTGCCCAGGAAGAGAGGACTGGGCAGGAACAGGGGCAAAAAGCCATTTAGCAAGCAAACAGGCATTTCACATAGAACCTAAAGCAGGGCGCCAGCCGGGCAGAGGCTTTAATGGTGCTTCCAGCAAAAGGACGAGTAGGTGCAGCAAAAGCAGCTCGCTCTTGGTGCTGCAGGCAGTCTTGAAGCAGGACCACAGGACTGAGGGCTACCAAAAGGTCTCTGACTCACATTGAGGTCTCTGCCTCACATTGAGCCCCTTCCCAGCTCAGAGGGCTGCAGAGAGGAGCTGGAAGCAGCTTCCCTCGGGTGAAAAAAAACCAAAAACACCCAGGCACAAGCGTCACAGCCTGGTGGCAGGGAAGGGCAAGAGGAGGCAAGGACCTGTCCCACCAGCAGAGCACAGAGGGAGCAGCGGGGAGCCCTTCCTCGACCAACCAAAAGCAAACCCGCACCTTCCCAGCCCCAGGCTCTCGGTTTGAACCCGCCGAGGGACAAGCTCTGAGCGGGAACTGACCGCCTCCCCCCCCCCGCCGCCTCCAGCCCCGGGAGCCTCAGTGCCTGCCACCGTCCTTGGCCCCGTCCCGGTCCTGGTCCCGGTCCCCCCGTCCCGGTCCCTCCCGGTCCCCCCGTCCCAGACCCACCTCGCCCGGCCCCCGAACATGCTGCGCTGCCTCCGCGGAGCTGGCGGGAACCAGGAAGCGCGGCGCCACGTGCGGATCCCCCACCGCCACGTGCTGCTCTCCCCGCTGGCGCGCCGCTTTCCGTACAGCAGTGGCCAATCAGGACACGGGGAGCCGACAGGCCCCGCCCCTTGTCGGCAGGGCTGGGAGGGGCGGCCCTTGCCCAGCCGTCACCCTTGGGGCCGCGGGTTCGAGCCCCGGGGGCGGCAGTGGACACGCGTGGCCAGGTGGGGGGCACAGCCTCCCCGGGTTTGGGGACTCGCCCAGACCCTCCTTGCCCACCGACCCCTCTGGTGGTGCTAGGAAACTCAGCCAGCTTTCTGTAACTGCCTCCAGCACCTCAACTGTCCCTGTCAATGGACCCCCATTCCCAGAACTTGCATATCATCCTGGACCAGGCATCCCCATCCTGGACCATATACCCTCATCCCGGACCATGCACATCATCCTGGACCATGCACCTGCATCCCAGACCATGAACATCATCCCAGACCATGCGTTCCCATTCCTGGACCATGCATCCCCATCCCAGACCATGCATTCTCATTCCAGACCATGCACCCGGCCAATGGACCCCCATTCCCAGAACTTGCACATCATCCTGGACCTTGAATGCCCCCCGCTGTGGACACCCCTCCTCAGAGCCAGAGGCAGGGCAGCAAATTATCCCAAGGCTATAATGAGCCCCCCCAATGTTGGGGCACCGGTGCAGTTGGGAGAGGGGGGTGAAGGCACCCAGCACAAGCCCAGGCGACGGAGCCTCCAGTTGATATTAAATTGTCTTTATTACACAGATACAGAGTTAAGAACAGACATAACCTGAATCATAAAGTTTACATCTTTCACAGGTCAAACATACAGTACACTTAAGAGAAAGCGGGAAACAGCAAGGGGAGGGGACAGCATGCCGAAGGAAAGTCCTACCACGTCATCTCTCTGGACTGGCCCCCAAAACCCACGCGGAGGGGCAGGACAGGCTGCCACCATGCCCACCCAGCCCTAGCGGAGGGGTCTGGTTTCCAGCCCCTCGGGGACCCCCGTACCCCAGCGTCCCCATCCCCAGGGCTGGCAGGGTAACACGGGCAGGGCTCAGCCCCACGCGGGACCAGGGAACTGGTGTTGCCCACGCAGCCATGAGCAAGGGGGGATGGCAAAACAACACCTCCTTCCTGGGGCTGTGTTGTTTGGTGGCATCAGAGGAGCCCCCGGGGGTTGCCACCACGGCAGGAACACCCCAGCACGGTGCCTGGGACCTAGGGACAAGTTGACATCCTGTCCCTGACCTCAAACCCAACAGGATCCAGGAGGGCACCCCAAGGAGAAGGGGAGACCCCAGCATGCCCCAGAGAAGGAAGGTGAGGAGAGGCTGTGAGGGGGCTGGGGGGCGGGGGGGTCTGGCAGTGATGGAGCAAAGCCTGGGGAGGTGTGGGACCCCAGCCTTTCTGGGATGGGGCACTTTGGTTTCAGCTGGGATTTTGAGTTGGGAATATGAGGAAGGAGCTGGAGAGACCTTCGCCGGCCCCGGTGCCACGCTTGGTGCCAGAGGAGAGCTACGTCTCTCCTCACCCTCCAGCCTGGTGCTGCACCCAGCACCCTGGGCTCTGCTTCCTCGTGGGGACCAGGACCTCAGGCACCCTGTCCCCATGCTGCCAACACCGTCCCCGAGCCCCAGCCATGATGGCAGGGAGGAAACCCAAGAAGGGGAGCTGTGGGCAGCCACGGGGACTCAATCTGGCAGAGAACTATGCCCAGCCACCCCATGTCCCCAAGCTGCCCCACAGCCACTGGGGTCTCCCTACCCTTTGCCCGGGTGGCTCATCCATCTGCCATCTCCCAGCTGCCACCAAGCCACCAAAGGACAGATCTTGGGCATGGCACAGGGCATGTGTCCCCTGGCCCCTCGCATGCCCCAACATCATTTTGGAGCAAAACCCCACAGAAGCACCTGCCAGCACCTCCCTGGCCACTGTGGTCCCCTCCGCGCCAGCATCACTCCGGCCCCGTGGCCACTCTGCCGCTGCCATCCATCCTGCATCAATAATTTTTTGGGAAATACTACACTTTAAAGCTGTCGTTCTGGTTTGGACATCTGCTAGCGCCACGCCACCCATCCCCTCCCTCCCCTGGCTTTTGGTTTCAATGCAAGGTTCTCTAGGGTATTTTTATTATTACTTTAAAAAAAAAATAATTTTAAAAAAAACCCAAAACAAAACAGAAAGCAGTGGAAACGAGAGCAGACTCCATGGAAATGCTCTTGTCCACAGTTTCCCGGCGAGGCGGAGGTAGAGAGGCAGAGCCCCGGTGCGGAGCGGGGCTGGGGACACATGGGGACACGGGGGGACAAGCACGGTGGGAAGGGCAGGGATGGGACAGACACCTGGGAGAGCAGGCGGCCCCGCAGCAGGTACATCTGCAATACTCTTATATATTACCTCTTCTCAGGAAACGTAAGAAAAATAGACAATATTACATATGTCACACCATAAATAAAGTGAACAGTCACTCGAGGGGCACCCGGCAAAGCTCCCAGCCTCGGGGTGCACAGAAACCACCCAGGGGGGTGCACCAAGGTCTCAGGGTGCACAGAACCCCCTCGGGGGAGATCCACTGAAGCCTCGGGGTGCACAGAATCCCCTGGGGGGGGATGCACTGAGGTCTCGGGGTGCACAGAACCCCCCTGGGGGATGCACCGAGGTCTCAGGGAGCACAGAACCCCCCTGAGGCAGATGCACCAAAGCCTCGGGGTGCACAGAACCCCCTGGGGGGGATGCACCGAGGTCTTGGGGCACACAGAAATCCCCTGGGGGGGGATGCACCAAAGCCCTGGGGTGCACAGAACCCCCCTTCCAGGGGATGCACTGAGGCCTCGGGGTGCACAGAGCTGCAGGAGGGCTTGGTGCTGGTGGCACAGGGCTGGTAATGTCACCTTGGAGGTGCCCCATGCACCAAGCTCTGCTGCAGCACGGCACGGCACGGCACAGCACGGCACGGCCGTCGCAGGAGGCAGCCATGAAGGCAGTGCCAGCCCCTGGGTGACTGAAAACACAACTGACCCGGCCCCAAGCCTTTCCCTCCTCTTCCTCCCCTACAGAAAACACACAGGATGGTTTTTTTGCAAATGCGGAAAAACTACAGCTCCTATCGAGCACACACGACTTGTGTTCGCCTCCGGCCAGCCTCGCTCCCCCACGCCACAGCCTCCAGCGGGGTCTCATCATCTTTTATTTGGCAAATGTCTCTTATTATTATCACTATCGTCATTATTATTATTATTATTAATTATTATTATTATTAATTATTATTATTTGGACCTCTGCAAACACTATTTACATTCACATTAGCGTACAGCACTCCTGCCCCGCGCGGGGGCTTCCCTCCTCGGAGCCGGGGGACTTTCCGTATTGCACTCCCGTCCTCTGCGCTTTGTACAACGATGCGAGAAAATACAAAATAATCAACATTGTCCTTGGCTGCCTCCTCGGCCAGGAAGGAGGTGGCGCTCGATTTCCTTTCCTTTCCTTTTTCCTCTTAAAAATCCTTGCAAAATAAATCCGACGGGGGGTGTGGGAGCAGCCCGGCAGCGAGGGGCTGGGGGGCGGGGGGGTGTCCAGCCGCAGGTGGCCCCCGACGGCTTCAGGAAGGGAGAAAGCCAAAATCTGTCTTTTAATCTCTTTTTTTTTTTTTTAATTCTCTTTTTCCAGGTTGGCGGTGGGCAGAGGTAGAGATGGGCCGGCTCTGGCTGCGCCCACCCGGCGGTTCTCAGCCACCATCTCCCCCTCCCATGCCTTGGGGGCTTCCTTTTTTTTTTTTTAAAAAAAAAAAACCACTTTTTTTTTTTTTTTTTTTTTTTTTTTTTTTTAATAAAACTTTTT